ATTGAGAGGAAGGTTCTGCTGCTCCTGATTTCAAGTCTCATTTCACTGGCTCTCTCTCTCTGACTCATGGCAGTCCCCAGCCACTCCTTGTTTCCTTATTGACTTAGTTGTCAGTTATCATATTCCTGGGAATTCCCAACCATTGCAATCATTACATGCTCAATGGGACATGGCCACAAATTGTCAAATTGAAACCTGCCAATCAACAAAATGCACCAAATTACTCCCTCCAATAATACCAGCCTTACATGTACATGCACAATGTGTTGTACCATCATTTTCAACCCTCCATCTCTCTCATTCTTTCTATTATATGATCTTTCTTTCAATTTTTTATTTTAATGTTTTAAATGTATGTTAATTCTTCATATTATCTCTCCCTCTGTTCCTATCTCTCTCTCCCTCCCTCCCTCTCTCTCTTTCCATTAGTATCCCAGTATCAGTGCTGGTCCTTCTTCCAATATTACTGTTTCTTTATTTTTGACACAATTTGATTGGTTGATCTGTGGATTGTCCAATGGTGATATTATAGTTCTATCAGGAGTTCAAGAAGCTACCAAACTTTTACTAGCCAAGAGAAAGTTCTCAAGAGGTACTCTGCATACAAATGTACAATAATTGTATACATGTCCATGTATGTACATGCATTCATACATGTACATGTACATTGTAATTACATGCAATATGAATAGGATATTTTTCTGTAGAACTAGTAAAACCAAATGTTTATCATGCCTGTAGTCTACTTATGTACAGTGGTACATGTACATGTACATATCACCTCTGTTTTTTCTCTGTGCTTCTGTCTTCTCTCTCTCTCTCTCCTCTATAGCACGGTCTCAGTATTATTTCTTAAGAGGTCACAAGAGGAGAGTCCCCTCCTGTTGTATCCTGTGACTATAGCACTGCTTATGATACCAATCACTTGTTATCTGGTGGTCCTGATTTCTCTGTTAGATTGTGTGACTTCTTCAAAGGAATATTGTTCCACACTATTGCAGTTCATGGTGGGTTGTCAGTAGCATTGTAGCATGTCCTCCTCATATTAATGTAAGC